GTTAGAAATGGTGCTAAGCAATTGACATATACTATCATCTTTCCTTACAGCAATCTCATGGATAGGTATTAGGAATTTCATTTTGTTTATATTGAAGTTACTCCAGTAAAAGTCACTTTATTCCTCAGAACTATTTGGTTACTAATAAGAGAAACAAACTTAAATTTCTATAAGTAAAGCCAACTGAAAAGTGCAGGACTAAATGTTGATTTCAGGCAGGTCAGGAATTTCCCTCTCTCCCTCCCTTGGGTCTGCTTTTTATTTATTATTTTCATTCTCAAGCAGGAACTTTTCACACAGTAGTAAAGATCACCAATATTAGATGTAAGCTTTCATTTTACCAATTTATCAATCTCAGTGAAAATAGACTGCCTCGATCCCAGAAGAGAGTCCAGGCCTGACTTTTATTCATCAAGCTTATATTATGTGCTCTTCTGTGAAAACATAGGAGAAAACTTTTGTGACATGGGATTAAACATAGTTTCTTAAGATACCAAAAGCATGATCCACAAAAGAAAAAATGGACAAATTAGAGCTTTTGGTCTTCTCTTTATTCTACCTTACATCCATGTAACATTTGATGTTGATGACACTTTCTATTTGTTGTGACTTTCACTTCTTACCAGTTCACTTTAAGGGGAGTTGTTTTGTATGTATGTATGTATGTATGCATGTATGTATGTATGTTTTAGGTGCCAGACACTGTACCAGATACTGGGTAGGCACTAATAGAACAGAGTTATGTTCCATTTCCAAGAGCTGATATAGTTAGTTTTTAAATTTTAGATTTTCTATGGTGCAGTCACTATGGAAAACAGTATGGAAGTTCCTCATAAAATTAAAAATGGAACTACCTTATGACCCTGCAATTCCACTTCTGGGTATATATCCAAAGAAACCCAAGACACTTTTTAAAAGGATATATGCACCCCTACACTCATTACTTATGATAGCCAAGACATGAAAACAACCCAAGTGCTCAATAGGTTGAGTGGATAAAAAAGTGGTGGTACATAGATATAGTGGAATATTACTTTGCCGTGAAAGAGAACAAAAGCTTACCATTTGCAACAGCATGGATGAACCTAGAGGGTGATACACTAAGTTAAATTAGTCAGACAGAGAAAGAAAAATACCACATGATTTCACATATATGTGGAAACTAAAGAAAAAAAGAAACTAACAAATATAAAAGAAACAGACTCATAGATGCAGAGAACAGACTGATTGATGCCATAGGGGAGAGGAGTTGGGGGGGCTGGGTGAAAAAGGTGAAAGTATTAAGTACAAATTGGTAGTTATAAAATAGTCATGGGGATGTAAAGTGAAGCATAAGGAATATAGTCAGGAAACGAGAAACCAGACGGCGGCGTAGGTCACAGCTGCCCCCGCCACCTCCCGCAGCCACATCAAAATGACAGAACCACCATCACTCAGAGCCTCCTGAAATCAGGCTGAACAGACGCCCCACAACCAGGGAGCTGAAGCAGCACGGAGACCAGGAGGAGGGGCGCAGACGCGGACGGATCCGGGCTGAATCACAGAGACACGGCCGCGGGCCCACACCCGGTGCCGCCAGTGAAACCCCGGAGGGACATCTCGGGGTGGGGGTTTCCCGGAGGAGTGAAACCCCTCCGGGAAACGTCCCAGCCCCACAGCAGGCCCCGGGCCCAGGGCTCCAGGGCCGGGAAGAGATGCCCCCACAACTCTGGGCTGTGGAACCAGCGGGGACTGTCCCTGAGGGTCACGGAGGCTTCGGGAGCCCCAGCAGCTCCTCTAAAGGGCCCGGCACGGACTCACTCGGACGCTCCCTCTGAGCCCAGCGCCGGGCAGCAGCCTGAAAGGACCCGGGACACTCGGGGGGGAACTAACCTGCCTGAGATCCGGGTGAGAGGCGGAGGGCGGCTTCCTCCCAGGCAGAAGGGCTGGCGGAGGCCATGGCTCCTTCGGGGAGTCCTCCCCGCACAGCCGGCAGGCAGGCGCCATGTTTGAATCGCCTGCACCTGACTCCCACCTTTGGCCCCGCCCCGTGATTCCCGGAGGCCCCGCCCCTCCCCACCTGCAGCTCATCCAGGCCATTTCCAGGGGCTTTTCTGTGCAAGTGGCCTCTGGAGCCTCATGCTTAGGACTCTCCTAAAATCTCTCAAACAAGTAGCATCGGACCCCATATAGCTTGATAAGCAGCCCCAGGCCTGGCACTAGCGGCAGCCTGCATTGTCTCATAGCTGGGCCTCTCCTGGACACTTCCAAGCCCAGCACAAGTAGCAGCCAACTGCGGTTTGCTGTGTAGCTCATGCTGGGTGGCCCTGGGCAAGGCACTGGCA